ATAAGTTCCACTCACAACCAAAAAAGTTTATGTTAAACATGCATCCAGGTTTCTTCTTTTTATTACTATAAAAGATGAGAATATCCTTATAAAATGTTCTAAGAAATAACTCTAAACAGGGACTTTAAAAGCAACTTCTATTACAAAAGATAAAAGAAACGCAACTACATTTCCCTTCAACCATCACTTACTGAATGACTACTATTTACAAAGCCCTGTGCTAAGGCTCTGTGGCAGGGACAATGTCCATCTAGGTGCCTGAATTCTGACAGCAGGAGATCGAGGAGAGAACAGGACTGCATTTTTCCAGGGGAAAACTGAAAGCAGTATTTGTCTCCTAAAGTCTACTCTATTGACCACACCCCCCCAACAAAAAAGTCCTCTAAATCACTCTAGAACTTGAATGAATTCAGTTTATCTTACTAACCTGGCCACTCCAAAAATTTGCTGCGGAATTTATTTACTGCTAAATATGATAAGGATTCTAGCAGAGCTGTGGCAAACCTGGAACTAATATAATATTCTCTGGGGCCTTTTTTTTTCTTCATAACATATACTATGACAATTTAACATTTTAAACCTTCATGTTAGGTTAGAGGAAATATACAAAAATTAAACATATCTGTTAACTCTACGCACAGTTGCAAGAGTTAAATTTGTTTACATACTTTCATTTTTTATAAAGCTGATTTAAGAAAATTCTCTGAAATAGCAAACTCTTTTCCAAACTTATTCCAAAATTAACTCACTTGAATGAAGGTATCTTACATTTTTACTTAAAGTCAGTGTTTTGGGGCTTTTCTCCAGGTCTTCAGGCTTTTAATTTAATGATTTTTGGTGATTCAGAGCAATTGGTGTCTTTGCTTTTCATTGCACAATAAAACCATTAACCTTTCCTTCATGTGATACTTTAAAGTATCACTAAAAGATGCAAAATATTTTAGAGGACCCCATTTTATAATAAAGTATTTTCAATATTTTAGTAATCAAATATACTTTCTACTAAATGTAGCTATCCTATAACATACCAGGGTGTATAGTGAACTGCACAACCTTAAGTGTACTATGTCCATACCCTCATAATAGAAAATAAAAAAAATCATTTTCTAATAGTGTGTTATATAAGATGAAAATAAGTTTTTAAAAGTGTTAACAATCCTAATCTAAATCAAATAGCTCATACTGATATTTCTTCAGCAAGATTAGAGAGTAAGCTTCTATATTAAATTCTAAAACAGTTACTCATTACACTGCATATCATGTTTATATAAGAGGGACCATGATCTAGAGTTTGGGGCATAAGTATGACAGGATCAACCTATATGAACTAAAGCTCTAGAAATACCATTAACAGTATACTTTCTGTGTCTTCATCTTCTTATCTAAAATAGGAGTAGGTATATTCACCTGAGAGTATATTATTTTCTTATAATCTAATGAGTTAAAATTATTTAAAGACTGTTAAGCAACATAGGCCAAAATTCACTTTCCTGATAATGGATATTTTAATGCATGTAACTTTTTCAGATGTCAATTCTAACCGCTTTCATCTATGAGAATTAGTTTATAATTGTTCCAACTTAATTTTCTCATGAAGAGATTTCCTATATCTCGTTATAATTCTAATTAGCTTAATTTTCTAACAAGTGCGTTATCCTATTTATTTTTGAAATAGTTAACAATTCTCCAAATTCTTTTTAAAAATGTTAATGATGATAAAAATTAAAATTAGCAGTAGTACCTTAGAAATAGAACATTTTAAATTATTATGTAATTGAAAACTAAATTTATATATATATTTGGAATGAGGAGGTCTCAATAGTACGTTATCTTAGGTTAAAATGAACTCACTTGAAATTTCAAATGTTGTATTTAATTCAACTCTTTCAATTTCCCCACACTAAAAACATACCACAGTAACACTAAATTGAACTGATATTGTTACACAGCCCTAAAATTTATTTTTTATATAAAACAACCTACATTGTTTGAAGGTATCCATATTTGACATAGCCACTAAAAAATAAAATCACAGTGCATGAAGACAGAAAACTACAAAAGTACATTTGAATGGATCTACTGCTTTTAAAAGATAGTCCATGTAATAATCAATATCGTTAAAATCACTCTCAATAAAATTTTTTTTCTTTTAATGATCCAAATCTATAGTGAAATGATGAAATCGAAAAACAAGTGTTCTTGTCAGAAGACAGGAAGAGAGTTTTTTCCCTTCCCTTAAGGAAAACAAAGGATTCCTGAAAGCCTTGCCCTGATTTATTTTTCCAATTTTAAATACCTTAAGAGTAGCGGAACTGCTACTGGCATGGTAGTATTTCTAACAGTCAATAAATCTAAAATATTATGTGTGAATATTGGAATGAAGCCATTAAGAAGATTACAGCATGCAACACAGCAGAGGGTCCACAGGAAAAAAGAACTAGTAATTCAGGACAACTGTGACCACTGACCTTTGAACAGCCAAGACCACTGGTCAAGCTGACACAGTAATAGAGTGCACATGCATAGAAAGTCATCTAGCCTGTAAGTATAATTTAAATGCTTTGGTGGATGATTTTTAAGAGGACCCCTTTTAAATATCAGTTAATTTATTAAATAATCAAACAATAGCAGTAGTAAAATTTTTCAGGATTCTAGTATATCTTATTAATTCAAATCGCAAAAAAAATTCAGTAAGATCATTTGTTAATTTTAACACAACTCATTTAAAACATTTATATTTAGAGAAAGTATGATGCGATAACTTTATCATATCTCCTGCAGAACTATAAGAGATAGCTTTTAGAAAACTGATGAAAAAGCTAAATTTATTAGAGAGGGGTTAAACAAACAATCACCTAAAATATTTTTAGAAAATGATCATAACTTTAAAACCTCTCATACTTTAAGCAAGTGGTCCTAGTTCCACCCCAGGGTTGTATCCACTTATTCATTGTTCAAATTTGTCTGTAAGTCTGCAGCCTTTAATTTCGAGCATACGTATAGTTATATCTACACCACCTAGCAGTGTGCCTTATTATGACTTTTTAAAATCTCAGTTATGTACAGTTAACCTTTACGTGTAAATAAAGGAGATGGTTCCTCCTGTCATTTTATATTTTTAGGCTTCCACATTTTGTGAGTACTATTTAACTTCTTCACATCTTAAAATAAATGTCTTAATAACAAACTAATCCTACTGGGAAAATAGTACTTCTCAATTAAAAAAGAATCACCCATCGAAAGAATTACTATTAAGGATTGTTTTTCTCAAAGAAATAAAATCAACCATCATTGAAACTGACTATAAAAATTTTTATGACACAAAAACACTGAATTATTTCTCTCTTTTCTTTTTCCTCTTTTTTCCTTTTTTCTTTTTCAATAAACAACCCTTTCTCATTAGGGCATTAACAGTAGGAAATGCATTGCACATAAGGACAATATTTGTAAAAGTTGGGACTTTATTTCATAATTATTTTTCTATCCAATGAAGAATTTCTAAGTGAATAACTCTAATCATTTCTAGCAGCTTCTGCAAAATTTTTGTAATGAGGCCATCTAGTTATAATGAGCTAAGAAGATAATATAATTCTTTACTGGCCTGGGTTTGGATTTGTTCATACATAGCATAAATTTTACTACAGTAAGATAAAGTAGTTCAATTTAATTTGCTTCAAGGTCAGCAAATATTTTAGGTTATTTGTGGGCATAAATAATCTGTTTTTAACTTTAAAATCACATTTTTCCTATCACTAGCCATAAGAACAATTAAAGCCAGTATTACTGTATTTTTTGAGTTTGAAATTTTTAAATTCACTTTTTCAAACTCCCTGGTAATGATTTCAAAGTACTTGCAATATTGCAGGAATATATATGATGGAGGATTTTTATTTCCAAATTTTACTACCCCTGAAAAAAGTGGATTTTTTTAGGAGAGTTATTTTTAACTTAGAACTATGTTATAAAGATATTTTTAAGTAGCCATTAATATATATACAGAAACAGTACTAGTCTGCATTTTTGCCCTATTCTAAGGAATACGAAGGCCAAAAAAATGCACTTTTGGTGACTAACATGAAACACAGAATACATCCTATTATAAGCTGCAGACGCACACGCGCGCGGGCACATGAGCGCGCACACACACACACACACACACACACCCTCTGCAAGATCAAAGACCAGAAGAGAACTGGCACTTAATTTATCAGCCTTTACAGACAAAAGACAGTTTTCGTCATTTCAAAAGGATCAGATGTCTTTTATGACAAACTGGGTTTGCAGTTTAATTTACAAATAGAATTCTAAGTAAGCAGTCTTTGCTCTGCCAAAGCAAATGACAAACAGTGTAGGTTTTCATTCTTGCGGCCCTCAGCAGGATAGAAAAGATTAAAATAAAACTGAAATAATTTAGAGAAAACAAATAAATGTTTCAGAAAGTTGAGGGAGATCAAAGCCAGAATTTTCTGACCCCAACTGTACAAGCATTTCTTATTATATTGACCAGTGCCATCAGATCATTAATTAAAAGGAAAAGCACTGGCAGGTGGCAGGGAAGCAAAAGCTGGTAATTGGCCCCCTTCTTCTCCTTGCCTTCAAAAACTCTCTCATTCTTTTGCAAGACATGCCACTAGGCAGACAGAAATGCCTACTTTGTAATATAATGATTAAGATGAGATGAAGAGACTTAGGTTTAAAGAAACTCTGCCTAATGAATGCATCTAGCTTTTTAATTATGATCCTACTTTTACAATAGGAATAGGATGTTCCATTCAACATCTCCTCAACTGCCAAAAGGTAGAAAATGTTAAATATAGAATCTACACAGATTCCTCTCACACCCATGCACATACTCAGCCCTTTTATTTCAGATAGAAAACTGGGGAAAACAACTCTTGGCAATTCAAAGGTTCAGGAGAAAACATATCTATCTATATTTATTACTATATCTATATCTATATCTTTATCTATATACACCACAAAATAGCCTTCAGACTTACCACATCACTCGGTAGGTTGTTCAAGTCATTAAATGGTGATTCTAAAGTGTTTGTGTCAACATTTAACATAACCACATCCTCCAATGATTTATTTTTCACTCTCTGTTCAAAAAACACAATCATAAATAAACATCTTAGTATATTTTCCTTCCAAAACTGTAATGAGCTTAGAAATGTAGAGAAAATTGTCTTACGATAATTAGCTTTGGGAAAAGAAAAAAGGAAAATCCTCTATTATAAGAACATGTAAATGACTTTGCCTTATGAGAAAGAAAGTTTGTTCATAATCATTCAAAAAGATTGGGTAAAAAAAAATCTTTAAAATAGAATGCTTGGTCATCTAAACACATTGATTTAGTTTAGAGATGTTGAATATAATTTAACTACCAAAGAGATATTATAACAAAAACTCACAAAATAGGCACAGCTACATTAAAATCTCCAAATTTACAACTTTATCAAATGAATTTTGATCCTATTGATATAGGAACTTGTGGCCACTTCTATACCTATTTTTAGCATAAATCATATTGTAGGACTAACATAAGCCATAAGTATGACTTCTATAAGTGAACTAAGTTTTAAATAAACATTTTCTCTGTATTTCCCTATCAATTCAGTATAAGCTGATGATGAGGACTGTAAGTTGAATAAGTAAAATGATAAAGACGGCCATAATAAGGAATTGTTAGCAAAATTTATCACATGAATTTAATATAACAGATCAAATTTCATAGCCTATCAGATTGTTTGACTCGTCTTATTTGTTTGACATTTTAATCAAATGGCCAAATTATCTCAATATGTGGACTAATGACAGTAAATTAGAATTTCATCAAATTTTTCATCCTTAAAGAAAGAAAACACGGTTTATTTTTCCTAAACTAACACGTATATTAAAATCACATAAATCTATTTGCCTTATTTAAATGATAGCAAATAGTATTACTTTTTGATGCAAATAAATAAGGTGCTCATTAATGAGCTCTATCTATCAGAATTCCATAATTGTATAGGTCAACTGGCAATAAGTAAATTAATTTCAGTGTAGTATTTTTCTTCAGTATAGTATTTTTTTTAAAATGACATTCTTGAATAATAGCCATTTTTGAGAATTATTAAATACCTTAAATTTTAAATTGGTCAAACCAATTTTTTTAAGTTGTTCAGGAACGAAATTTCCTTGATCCATTTAGAACTTCCAATCTCTGCAGTTTAGGCAGAATGTTAAGTTTGCTAGGGAAACGGTGGTCTAGAGTGGGGAATTTGAATGTTAAGTTTGCTAGGGAAACGGTGGTCTATAGTAGGGAATTTGTATGTGTTAAGAAAGCCATAGTGTTTGTGTAGAATATGAATTCTCAAAGGAACACATCATTTTTAAAAATCCATCTTATAAAAGACATTGTAAGTACTCTAAAATAAGAGTCAGGATGGCTGTTTCTTAGAAGTTAAGAGACAATCACGTACAACTGTGACACTATTTACAAAACATTTTATAAATAAACTTATCCTCTTTTCTTTGCATATGTATACACATACACAAAAAAGGCTCACATACATAAGTATGTAGTTACCTCAGTTAACTACAGCATAAATACAAAAGTAACCTATTTCAGATGCAAAAATACATTTATAATTGTGGCATACAGGTGGGAAAGGTGTGTCATAATTTTGATTTCCACCTTCAATTCTAAATTGTCCCTTTTAACAGAAACTATAAAGATAATCCAGAAACCCACTTATTAAAGGATGAAATGAGCTCCTCTAAATAGCCTGGAAAAATGGTTATGTGATGCCTAAATATTTTGTGATGATACAAATGCTAAACTCTGAAAAATAAGATTAGTATTAACATGAAATGTATACTTTTTTCCAAGTTGCACTTAGTTTAAAAAGGTCTGATAAAAGCTGAATATTAAATTCTGTTCAAGGGACCATTTGGTAAGAATGGAAAATGTACTAATTTCAATAAATCAATACAATGAGACTCACTAAAATGAGAATGATTCTACATAAGCAGCAACAAGTGAAATACAGTATGTAATTTAAAAACATTTTTTTAAATTTGGATTAATGTCAGTATTTTGTCTACATTTCCTTCCAAGTCAGGCTTTAACTAAACAGGAGTAAAAGGTTATACAGTATATAAAATGGTACCACTTTCTCTGTTTCATATTTTAATAGTTCATAAAATTCATCAGCTTGCTTGGATTGGGAAAAAGTAAGAAAAAGGAGAACTTTCTTTTTTCTTCAAAAATAAAAAAATAATATAAGGACAGAGACCAAAAGTCTTATGAAAGAAAACAGTAAGGTATTAAAGTAGTAGGTTTTTCTCCCACATCCTCTCTATATAATAACTCATCCAGGCAATGTGACTACGAATGTGCATCATGTTACTATGATGCACTATGTTACTATGTTACTATGAGTGGCAGTAGTCCCATGTTCTTGTAAAACTGAGCCAACATTTTAGAATTTCTTCTGTATTTTAAAACACATACTACAATCCACTAATTTATTTCTCATCATTTACAGGCCTTTGAGTTCATCCCTAAAGTCTAATTTTCAGGGAGAACAAAATGTCCTTATCCTTTATTTTGAAGCAAATTTACATTTTAAAAAGAAATTTCTAGCCATCTTTCACTCATGATTACATAAAAATAATTAAAAGAAAGATTTAGAAGGATATTAGTTTCACATCTTTGAACAATTATATCTAGAAGTCTTTGTAAAGCTGTTATGTTGAAACTGTATTGACCAAGAGAGAGTATATGGAATATTTTGATTATTCGTAAAAAAAAAAAATCTGTTGTAAATGCAGCCAAGCAAAATGTAAAAAATTACTCAGTTCAGTCTCACATATAAAATATCTAAATAGATATACCCATATTTTAATTATAATACCATTAATATAAAATAAGAAAGCACAAAAGATTTTTTTAAATGTGCCATTAATGAAATGATTAAATAAGAATGGAATTGCAGGATGCCATATTATCTTGTAATAAATTAAGGAGAAAGTTACTAAATGGTACCCAACTGGTTTAAAGACATTCTTGAGGTTCCTTTTATACCTTCTCATTCACTATTAAACCAAACAGACCAAACAAAACTGTCTACAAAGACAGTTCAATTAAGTCCAGAGTATAAAAAGGTACCGAGATTTCAGGCAATCTAATCATGGCTCTAAACAGTCTCATTTAATGATGAGCCAATTTAAAACAGAATGGACCATTTCTCTAAGATAATACTGCAAGAAGTAAAAAAACCTTAAGCAATTTGCTCCTTAAAAAAAGGACTGATTTTCACTATAGATATCCAATAAATATACGGTAAGTGTGATCAAATATTTAAAACATGCACCCATTTCCATAATATTTTAGAAAAGCTGAATCATTTGTATTAAAAGTTGATATAGAACCATTATGCAAAAAATATATATAACATCAATGGGTACAATAATCAACTTCAAATGTTTTTCATCTGTACAAATAAACATATTATAAAAATGAGGTATTCTATTAGATACATTAAATAAGAAGAGACATGTGCACTAATATCAAATTCAAATTTGATGACTTCTTTGAAACCATACCAACTGTGGTTTAATTTTATACAGTGAAAATACTGATGAACAAAATACCAGTTATATATTCTACAATCAAATAATAGACTAAATACCTACAAATTCGTGTTTTATTTTATGCAAATTGACCTTTCACTGCCAGCACCTTGTCATAAAAGAACAAGTTTTCTAAAAATTAATAAAGATTCATAATGTTATCTAACTCAGACTTCAAAATTAAAAACAAATTAAGTCTACTAAAGAAATTCATTAAAATGTATTATTTGTTAATGATTAAACAAATAAAAAATGTTGCCCTAGCTTTCTGCAAAAGGAGAAAATGACCAAAACCAGAGCACATGTGGGATTCTCTAACTTGGGAAGGACTACTACAGGAACATGACTTCTCCAGACATGATCCTCAGGAGTTTTAAAATAATCAATGGGATCTTCCTTGATCTGCAAAGTGAGGACTGATGGTGTACACAGTGACAACTAATAAGAAAACCAAATCTAACTCATTTAGGTTGCTGATTAGAAATTGGGTTAATATACAATATGCACAATCAGCAAAAGAAAAAAAAAAAGAAAACTGAATAAAACTGAAATCAGCTAGCATAATGATGCTATGCAACTGACCCAAGTCTTCTGTTTGGATCCAAGTCTTCTGTTTATGCTTTTTTTAGAATCTAATCTTCTAAGAAGTCTTCTCTGGAAGTTTCACTGATTCCAAGTACAAGGTATTTAAAGTTCAAAGTTTTTCACTATAATGATGACAAGTCACAAAAATCATTTTGGAATGAAGTGATAACAGTACAAAAAAATCAATGCATTTTAAAACCCTAACAGGACTAGAAATTTAAAAAAATTTAAAGCTATATTCTAATTTAAAATTTCATGATTATTGTATTAAAATCACACCTTGAAAAAGCACACGGACAAACTGGATCATAATGATTGAAAAATGAAAACATTTTCCCTTTATGACTCATAAGTACATAGAATCTGACCTTCAAAATATGGTCTGAAAAAGAAATAAGTATAAAAGATCCCAAGTGCCATAAAAAAGTGGTTCATCAGAGACTAAGTTTTTAGTATGTAATACTTACCACATGACCTTGACCAAATTTAACATATTTTCATGGTTTTCACACCCTCAAAGATGGTCATTCAGAATACTAATTAAAATGTAATTATTCCAAATATTACCTTTTTGAAAATGATTGTGTAAGTATATAATAATTCAACACTTGCAACTGCTTTATACTATTCAACTGATACTCTTTGAAAACACAACTGTTTTAACTATTATTTTTATTAATCATTATACCACTCATGCATCTCATGTCTGAAAGATACTCACCTCTATGAGGCTGGAGTGTATTCCAATCAGGTATGGCATTGGAGCACTAAATTAAAGATACATAATGTATATATTCATAAGTTCATTACAACTGAAACAACTATATAAGTAATTCAGAAAGTTTAAAAAATTAATTAAAGGTACAGTTCTAATATAGCCCATTATAGGTATTTAAAATTATTCAATACATAAAAATCAAATTCAATTGGAGAGACCATGAATATATTCAAATTAAGGTTTATTTGCATAAAAATCACAAAATCATTTATAATTAAATAAAGAGTGGTAAGGCCTAAAAAAACTTTTAATTTATGAAGAATATTAGAGTCTAGGCCATAGTCTGAGTTAAACCTTCCACATACTTCATATCAAATATATCCTAATTATCAAATTTATTCACATTTCTTTTATATGCCTTTTTAAAATTCGATTGGATTCTTATTTCTGTCATTTCCTTACTATATCATCATTGTTTCACACCTACAATGGCAACAAAATTTTCTGATTTAGTCAATCACCCAGTATTTATTGAGACCCACTATATGCCAGGCACTGTTTCAGAATTAGAAGGACAAAGATAAACAAGTTCTTCCTCTACTGTTATCATTCTCTTTCTGTGCTTTCTGTTCAGGTACATCATCCTTTATTTAAATGTCATTCAGTATGGTGACTGACATAACATAATAAGTAAGTAAATACACAAATAAATGTCACAGATTCCTATTTATCCCATTTTCACTTCTAGTAATAAAATAATTTTAACAAATCATAATATTCAAGTATGTGTAAGAATAATACTGAAATAATTAATTCAACAAATAATACCTGAAGCACACGAGATGCTAGAACCTGGTCTATGAGCTAGGTATAATAATAAATGATACAAACAGAATACATTCCCTTGTGGATCTTACACTCTAGCAGAGTATACAGATATTAAATAATTTTTGTAACATAAAATCAGGCTTATAAGTCAGTTCAGAAATATTTCTCATAAAATACAAGAAGGGAATTATCCAACTTGACATTTTGAAATCAAAATATTATTTAACAAGAAAACGTGAGAATGGACAGATGTCTACAAAGGTGATAGAAGATATGCAAATAAATAGCTATCTAAAAATAAAAAACTTTTGACATTTCTTGTATAGTATCTCTGTGTTATAGTTAATGAAACATTTTCTATGTTAATGAAAACAGATAATCTTTTTCAAAGAATTTGCTTAATTTTTGAAATTAAAAAAAAACTATCATTTTCACTATTAGAGCTGAGCTGTCCAAACTTCTGCATATCCATTTTGCTACTGAGAACCGGTCACAGATAAAGCTAACGGTGCTCCACAGTTTCCAAAGTAACCTAAAACAGCTTCAAATTTATTTAAAGATGTCTTAACCACTAACATATACCCCAAATTCACCAAAAATAAGGATAAAGTTTATAATTGACTTCTCATTATCCTGTTCATTATTTCTTATTGTATTAGATTCCATCTAATTCCCTTTTGTAGCTTTGTTCCTTCCTTTTTTTTTTTAATACAATAGACCATCTGGAATTGATCTGATATTCTGGATCATTTGACCGAAAGTTAAGAACTATTTATAGGCCTTGATATCCTTAAGACCTAACAGATTTTCTGCCTTCAAAAGGAAACAGGAGGAATAAATGTGGACTGTTACACTTCTGCTTAAATAAAGGAAGGCTGATTACTACCCTAGTTCAAGTTCTCATCTCTGGAATTCCTTCTGGGACTCCACAGAAGACATAAAATATATGTCACTAACTATTCTGGGCTCCCAAGACTGGGTTCAGAACATTTTCACAAAACAGGGTAGCAAATCCCAAGATCTTAAATATGTCAAGCTGTCCATGTCCAAAATAGCATAAAATTATTCAAGTGACTGTGCAAACTTCCAATTCACCCCAGGTTTATCCTACCTACAAAATGTACAACATAGAAAGTCCATGGTATCTCAAATTTTGAAGCACATTTTAATACAATGAGTGTTCATCAAAAATATATAAGCTTTTTAAAGTTAACAATTACTATGTCCATTTTACAGATGTTGGATGAACACTGAATGGATCAGATTTCAAAAATTCAGAGCCAAAAGTAGTAGCTAACCTACTGAAGTCCTACAAAATACAGCTAACACTTTTAAAACTTCATGAGAGCTAGTGATTTCTTGAAATACAAAAAAAAAAAAAATGTTTAGCAGTTGTTAAACTAGAATAAAAATTCAATAAAGGGCTCATATGTAGAACTTAGTAATGAAGTAACTTATAACTGTTTCTGTGAGATTACTGGGTATCTATGTGCTTTTATCTCACTAATTACTAACAAAACCAAAAACATATAGAGATGTTAGAACTGCAAACATTATTAATCTAGAGCACGAATTCTTAAAATAATCATGATGTTTTGCATACAGATTTTATAAGATACATTTTATAGACAGATTTTGTATTTTATGGAATACAGACTTTACTGGTTATTTCTTTCTCATGAAAATTGGATTGTGCACCTCCTAATATTAAATCAGCCAATCTCCTGAAAAGTAATTTTGCAACCCTAGCTGAAATCTCCTAATTAGATTAGGGTGTTAATAAGTCAGGAAGAGATCTTTGGCAACACAGATGTTTTATCATCCACGTGCAAAATTGTCCTAGATCTTTCTGTCAATGAAGTTATTCTGCAAAGATAGGATACAGGAGACTATTATGACTACTTCTTCTTTTCGGTAGCAATTAATCTCTACTCAAAAATAATCACCATGTAATACCTTTTTTTTCTTTCTTTCTAGGTTTTCTTATAGAAACCTCCCGTTGGTACATAGTAACAGTAGTATATTAGCTTAGGTAGTCTAAACAGCACAATTTTCCATTTATGCTTTAAAAAACAATTCTCTCAAAAGCTAAATCTGTTCCTTTCATGGAAAGAAGAGTCAGATAGGTAGACGACATAAAAAAGTGACTCTTAAACAAATAAAAATGATTATAATTTTACTGGTACTGAAGTGATACTACCTCCTAGGTATTTAGGTACTCAGAAAGGTTAAGCCTATGTGGCAGTATCATGGATTTGCCACATTAAAGTTCTCTCTCCCTCTCTGTCCCTCACTCTTTTTCTCTCTCTCGTAGTAAAAACACTTCATATGAGCTCTGCCTTCTTAAGAAATGTTAACCATAGGCAAAATATTGTGCAGCAGACCTTTGGAACTTAACCATCTTGTATAACTGAAATCTTATACCTGTTAAATAGAAATTCCCATTCTTCCTTTATGCTGGTAGATTAAAAGAAAATGTAGATGGTGTTATTTCCTCCTAGTCACCTTCCCTATCCTACTAAGCAGTGTGGGCCACTTCTTCCTAGGTGTCCCCATCCAAGTTGCTTTTATATGCCTCGTATAAACCTCATAGTACTGAAGAATTACTCTGTGTTCCTCTTGTGTGTGCATGTGTGTGTGCGCTCCATGCACATATGTGTGAATTTCTTCCTCTCTGTAGATACTGAAAGGGCAGAAACTAAGTTTCATTCAGTACCTTACATATACTCATTGCTTGGCAAATAGGCGTTCACCAAATATTTGATGTACAAATAAATGGATAAATGAACGAGTCGACAAATTAGCTAGCCCTTCATTAGTGGACCCAGATGCTATATTCATGCATGGTCACAAGATGGCATTATGGCTCTCCACAGTCTATGTCACACCAGTGATACCAGGTGCGCAAATAAAAATACTTCCAGAAGACAGGATTATTTTAGGATTTGGAAAGTTCCAATCACCTTGAAGAGTTGGCAAATATACATCTAACCCATCAAACCTTCCTGTTCTTTGTCTATATAAAGACATATAAAAATTTCTTTATTCAAAAACCATGAGATTGAAGGGACAATCTCTAATATTTTTCTCTCTTTTGCATAGAGATGAGTATGATTCTAAGATCATTTGCCAGGATGCAAAGGGAAGAAAATGGTTTTCTTCCATTAGAAATATTTTAGTCCATAAAATTTTCTGACAGAAGAGAGCCAGAGTCTTAGCTATTTCTTTAAAATAAAGAAAAAGAAAAAAATTACATTATATTGCTCAGTTCCTAGGATAGAAGCTGAGCCTATCATTGTGACCCGAAGGTTCAGAAGTGTCAGATAACTCCTTGTTTATCACTGCTGTACTCCCCAGAACAGGAACTGTCTGGCATAGAGGCTGGTAGAACTTGTCCTAAAGGCTATTTCAAGGTTAGAAACTAGTAAGAAAATTCAAGGGACTGAAATATGAAACAAGCTTCCTTCCTTATAGTGAAGCAGCAGAAGGACTTGATGGCAGGGTTAAAAGTATCAGGAAGACATCTCTGGAAAGAATTAGCACAGAACTACCTACATCACAGAATAGTTTCTAAATAACAGTATTTTAGAAAGTCTTAAATGCCCACAGAAGATAATTATGCAAGGAAGAGAACATTTAACCCTACAGTCCAGAAGAAGATCTCAAGGCTGCTGTTTCAGGGTCTAAGCCTTGTCCAGCCTCACTGTGAGTATACGCACTCTTCCAGAGGAAGAGAACAGAAAAGTTCTACGGGTATAGCTGAATTCAAATGGGGTGAGATCAGTGGGAGTTGTTTCTAATGCCAGGAAGCTTTTCAAAATTACTCCCAACATTTTCAACATTGCTTTTCATAATGGCTTAGGGCTGAGACCTTGCTTTAAACCAGAAACTCAGGGAATCCCTGAATTAGAGGATTTCCCTTGCTGGTACTTGATATTTGGTATGCTAAGCAAAGAGGGGTCTAGGAAAGTGTGTCCTGAGGTAAAGGTAATGAAAGCGTGCCCTGACAGAGACAATCTGGTTTCTGACACACTTGGCAGACAAATCCTGACACGTGGGATACGGAGTTCTCTAACTGATACTATAACTTCCGTATGCTTTTGCTAACCACCAAATACAAGACTGTATTTGCTTCTCTTTACACATTTAATTATCTAAATGACTATGGAAGTACCTCACAAAATCTAAAGAACTTTATGTTTGCCAAGTATATATTTTTGCTAGCTTTGAACAGAATGACTCCGCCTTCATAAAAGCACCTTTTGATATTTGCTACCGATCTCTAAGACAAGTCTCAGGGCTTGCATTTGTCTACATACACACCAAGCTTACCTGATCTACAAATAAGCATACTTTTTCGAATCATAAAGGCTGAATTTAAAGGAGTTTGGCCAAGGTCATCTTACCAGCAGTAGTCCAGCAGGTGCGGAGGAAGCACTGGGATATATATGTGTTGCCAGAACATGGGGTACAGCAGGGCGGCTGATCCATGGAGACAGGCAGTTAACTAAAATTTGCAAGAGGATAACAACGATAAGTAGCCGCTGACTCTCCAAACAAAAAGACATGCTCAGGTTTTCAAAGATTAACAACAATCACAAAACTATTTATTTAGTGACCTAAATCACATTATCTTTACCAATTCTGCCAGGGGGAAAAAATCTTATGTTCAAAAGCCCCTTTGAGACATCCCGGGGGGAGGAGTCAAGATGGCGGAGAAGTAGCAGGCTGAGACTACTACAGGTAGCGGGAGATCAGCTAGATAGCTTATCTAAAGATTGCAAACACCTACAAATCCAACGGGAGATCGAAGAGAAGAACAACAGCAACTCTAGAACCAGAAAATCAACCACTTTCTGAAAGGTAGGACTGGCGGAGAAGTGAATCCAAAGCGACGGGAAGATAGACCTCGGGGAGAGGGGCCGGCTCCCGGCAAGCGGCGGAGCAACGGAGCACAAAATCGGGACTTTTAAAAGTCTGTTCTGCTGAGGGACATCGCTCCAGAGGCTTAACTGGCGTGAAGCCCACACAGGGTCACAGAAGGATCGGGGGTGTCTGAGTGTCGCGGACCTTACAGGTATTAGAACGGGGAAGCCGGCTACAGAGACAGAGCCGAGGAGTGAGCACTAAGCTCGGGGTTACCTTGAACTGGTCGTAGCCTCGGTCAGTTCGGAGCGCGGCCGGAGGCCAGGGTGACGGGAGTAATTGGGCGCTGTTCTCTGAGGGCGCACTGAGGAGTGGGGCCCGGGGCTCTTGGCTCCTCCGGGCCAGAGACCGGGAAGCCGCCATCTTCATTCCCGCCCTCCGGAACTCTACGGAAAGCGCTCAGGGAACAAAAGCTCCCGAAAGCAAACCCAATCGGATTACTCAGACGGGCCCCGGGTAAGAGCGGTGAAACTCCGCCTGGGGCAAAGACACTTGAGAATCACTACAACAGGCCCCTGCCCCAGAAGATCAACAAGAAACCCAGCCAGGACCAAGTTCACCTACCAGGGAGTGTAGTTTCAATACCAAGGAGAGCAGCGGAATTCCAGAGGAGAAGAAAGCAAAGCACGGAACTCATGGCTTTCTCCTCATGATTCTTTAGCCTTGCAGTTAATTTAATTTTTTTTTCTTTTTCAATTTTTTTTTCTTCTTCTGCTAAATTTTTTTAACTTTTACCCTTTTCTTTTTTAACATTTTTTAACTAGTTTATCTAATATATATATATATAAATTTTTTTTTTTTTTTTCTTTTTATATTTTTTCTTTATTGGTTTTCTTTTTTTAATTGTTTCTTTCTTTCTTTTTTTTTTTCTTTTTTATTTCTGAAACTCTTTTTATCCCCTTTCTCCCCCCTCACGATTTGGGATCTCTTCTGATTTGGCTAAAGCATAATTTCCTGGGGTTGTTGCCACCCTTTTAGTATTTTACTTGCTCCTTCATATACTCTTATCTGGACAAAATGACAAGGCGGAAAAATTCACCACAAAAAAAAGAACAAGAGGCAGTACCAAAGGCTAGGGACCTAATCAATACAGACATTGGTAATATGTCAGATCCAGAGTTCAGAATGACGATTCTCAAGGTTCTAGCCGGGCTCGAAAAAGGCATGGAAGATATTAGAGAAACCCTCTCGGGAGAGATAAAAGCCCTTTCTGGAGAAATAAAAGAACTAAAATCTAACCAAGTTGAAATCAAAAAAGCTATTAATGAGGTGCAAACAAAAATGGAGGCTCTGACTGCTAGGATAAATGAGGCAGAAGAAAGAATTAGCGATATAGAAGACCAAATGACAGAGAATAAAGAAGCTGAGCAAAAGAGGGACAAACAGCTACTGGACCACGAGGGGAGAATTCGAGAGATAAGTGACACCATAAGACGAAACAACATTAGAATAATTGGGATTCGAGAAGAAGAGGAAACAGAGAGGGGAGCAGAAGGTATATTGGAGAAAATTATTGGAGAGAATTTCCCCAATATGGCAAAGGGAACAAGCATCAAAATCCAGGAGGTTCAGAGAACCCCCCTCGAAATCAATAAGAATAGGTCCACACCCCGTCACCTAATAGTCAAATTTACAAGTCTTAGTGACAAAGAGAAGATCCTGAAAGCAGCCCGGGCAAAGAAGTCTGTAACGTACAATGGTAAAAATATTAGATTGGCAGCAGACTTATCCACAGAGACCTGGCAGGCCAGAAAGAGCTGGCATGATATATTCAGAGTACTAAACGAGAAAAACATGCAGCCAAGAATACTATATCCAGCTAGGCTATCATTGAAAATAGAAGGAGAGATTAAAAGCTTCCAGGACAAACAAAAACTGAAAGAATTTGCAAACACCAAACCAGCTCTACAGGAAATATTGAAAGGGGTCCTCTAAGCAAAGAGAGACCCTAAAAGTAGTAGATCAGAAAGAAACAGAGACAATATACAATAACAGTCACCTCACAGGCAATACAATGGCACTAAATTCGTATCTCTCAATACTCACCCTGAATGTTAATGGGCTAAATGCCCCAATCAAAAGACACAGGGTATCAGAATGGATAAAAAAACAAAACCCATCTATATGTTGCCTACAAGAAACTCATCTTAAACCCGAAGACACCTCCAGATTTAAAGTGAGGGGGTGGAAAAGAATTTACCATGCTAATGGACATCAGAAGAAAGCAGGAGTGGCAATCCTTATATCAGATCAATTAGATTTTAAGCCAAAGACTATAATAAGAGATCAGGAAGGACACTCTATCATACTCAAAGGAACTATCCAACAAGAAGATCTAACAATTTTAAATATCTATGCCCCTAACGTGGGAGCAGCCAACTATATAAACCAATTAATAACAAAATCAAAGAAACATATCGACAATAATACAATAATAGTAGGGGACTTTACACTCCCCTCACTGAAATGGACAGATCATCCAAGCAAAAGATCAACAAGGAAATAAAGGCCTTAAATGACACACTGGACCACATGGACATCACAGATATATTCAGAACATTTCATCCCAAAGCAACAGAATACACATTCTTCTCTAGTGCACATGGAACATTCTCCAGAATAGATCACATTCTCGGTCCTAAATCAGGTCTCAACCATTATCAAAAGATTGGAATCATTCCCTGCATATTTTCAGACCACAATGCTCTGAAGCTAGAACTCAATCACAAGAGGAAATTTGGAAAGAACCCAAATACATGGAGACTAAACAGCATCCTTCTAAAGAATGAATGGGTCAACCAGGAAATTAAAGAAGAGTTGAAAAAATTCATGGAAACAAATGATAATGAAAACACAACGGTTCAAAATCTGTGGGACACAACAAAGGCAGTCCTGAGAGGAAAATATATAGCGGTACAAGCCTTTCTCAAGAAACAAGAAAGGTCTCAGGTACACAACCTAACCCTACACCTAAAGGAGCTGGAGAAAGAACAAGAAAGAAACCCTAAACCCAGCAGGAGAAGAGAAATCATAAAGATCAGAGCAGAAATCATAAAGATCAGAGCAGAAATCAATGAAATAGAAACCAAAAAAACAATAGAACAAATCAACGAAACTAGGAGCTGGTTCTTTGAAAGAATTAATAAGATCGATAAACCCCTGGCCAGACTTATCAAAAAGAAAAGAGAGAGGACCCAAATAAATAAAATCATGAATGAAAGAGGAGAGATCACAACTAACACCAAAGAAATACAGACAATTATAAGAACATACTATGAGCAACTCTACGCCAACAAATTTGACAATCTGGAAGAAATGGATGCATTCCTAGAGACATATAAACTACCACAACTGAACCAGGAAGAAATAGAAAGCCTGAACAGACCCATAACCAGTAAGGAGATTGAAACAGTCATCAAAAATCTCCAAACAAACAAAAGCCCAGGGCCAGACGGCTTCCCGGGGGAGTTCTACCAAACATTTAAAGAAGAACTAATTCCTATTCTCCTGAAACTGTTCCAAAAAATAGAAATGGAAGGAAAACTTCCAAACTCATTTTATGAGGCCAGCATCACCTTGATCCCAAAACCAGACAAGGATCCCATCAAAAAAGAGAACTACAGACCAATATCCTTGATGAACACAGATGCAAAAATTCTCCCCAAAATACTAGCCAATAGGATTCAACAGTACATTAAAAGGATTATTCACCACGACCAAGTGGGATTTATTCCAGGGCTGCAAGGTTGGTTCAACATCCGCAAATCAATCCATGTGATACAACACATTAATAAAAGAAAGAACAAGAACCATATGATACTCTCTATAGATGCTGAAAAAGCATTTGACAAAGTACAGCATCCCTTCCTGATCAAAACTCTTCAAAGTGTAGGGATAGAGGGCACATACCTCAATATTATCAAAGCCATCTATGAAAAACCCACCGCAAATATCATTCTCAATGGAGAAAAACTGAAAGCTTTTCCGCTAAGGTCAGGAACACGGCAGGGATGTCCGTTATCACCACTGCTATTCAACATAGTACTAGAAGTCCTAGCCTCAGCAATCAGACAACAAAAGGAAATTAAAGGCATCCAAATTGGCAAAGAAGTCGTCAAACTATCACTCTTCGCAGATGATATGATACTATATGTGGAAAACCCAAAAGACTCCACTCCAAAACTGCTAGAACTTGTACAGGAATTCAGTAAAGTGTCAGGATATAAAATCAATGCACAGAAATCAGTTGCATTTCTCTACACCAACAACAAGACAGAAGAAAGAGAAATTAAGGAGTCCATCCCATTTACAATTGCACCCAAAACTCTAAGATACCTAGGAATAAATCTAACCAAAGAGACTAAGAATCTATACACAGAAAACTATAAAGTACTCATGAAAGAAATTGAGGAAGACACAAAGAAATGGAAAAATGTTCCATGCTCCTGGATTGGAAGAATAAATATTGTGAAAATGTCTATGCTACCTAAAGCAATCTACACATTTAATGCAATTCCTATCAAAGTACCATCCATTTTTTTCAAAGAAATGGAACAAATAATCCTAAAATTTATATGGAAC